CTTTACCTGTGTTCGAGTGGATTCGGTTCGGCTGGCCCTCCAACTGCTCTCCAGGCGTCTTTTCCGACGTTTCATCTCTCTCAGCCCCTCGGTAAACCAAGGAGATGGTCGAGATCCACGTCGGGTCAGAGGCCGCAAAGGCACGACTCGGTCCAATGCTGCGGCGGCAGTTGTCTCCCAAGCCGCCGCCTGATTTTCCACCGAGTCGTGGACCAGATCCTCCGGATATGGCCCAAGCTCCGTCAGGAACCTCTCGGGGTCCATCAGTCGCCTGGGACGGAACCATCAATATGAGTCGGTTGCTAAGAGTCTCAATTGGTCCCAATTTTGATTCTGTGTCCCTGGGGCTGCTGCAATGGTCATAAGGGTGAAAAAGGGTCATAAGTTGCTTTTGCCAGTGTCGATGTAACCCTGAACAGTCACTAAATGGACTATTGTAGGTCGAGGACTACCTGTATTGTAAAGAAATACCTTTCTATTGTTGGGCTTCTTGTTTAGCTAAGACAACAGCTTTTCCCATTGGAGCCCATTGCTTCAGCTCTGCTCTTTTGTCTACCTAGTCTTTTCAAGATCATAGAATCATAGGCTGGAAGGGACCTTGGAGGTCTTCTAGCCCAGCCCCTTATTCTTAAACCGTCCCAGGCAAATGGTTGTGTGATCTTTTCTTGAAAACCTCCAGTGATGGAGCACTCACAACTCCAGGAGGCAAGCTCTTCCATTGATTAATTGTTCTCACTGTCAAGAATTTCCTTCTTATTTCCACGTTAGATCTCCTTCTGATGAGTTCCCACCCATTGCTTCTTATCCTGCCCTACATGGTTTGAAGCTGCCGATAGTGTCAATGTACTTTGGAGAGCACTAGACCCTTCTCTTAGAATTAGAATAGAGCTGGAAGGGACCTTGGAGGTCTTCTAGTCCAGCCCCCTTCTCAAGCAGGAGAACCTATACCATCTCAGACAGGTGATTGTCTAGTCTCTTCTTAAAAATCTCCAGTGGGGGTAAGCTGTTCCACTGATTGATTGTCCTCACTGTCGGGAAGTTTCTCCTTAATTCCAGGTTGCTTCTCTTCTTGCTTTAGTATGGACTAGAAGACCTCCAAGGACCCGTCCAACTCTATTCTGATTGATTGATTGATTGATTGATTGTCTAATGTATTTCCCCCCCCTGTGCCAATTCTCAGGTGGATGGAATCCTTGGTCAACCTGGGGTGAGTGCACCAAAGACTGTGGAGGTGGCCTTCAAACTCGGACCCGAACTTGTCAACCTCCTCCTGATGAAGGTCTCATCTGTGAAGGAGTCCTGGAAGAAGGGAGATTATGCAACAGGAAAGCTTGCAACCGTAAGTAACCATGGCTTCTGAAGGAACCTCAGAGCAGGTTCTCCCGACTCTGTCCATGAGGCGTAGGCCCAACAGAAACCCTTGGCTAAGCTCTTTGCTCGAATGAACTCGTATACTTTGGACTGCAAACTTTTCAAGGCAGGCACTTTTTATTAGAGCGATTACATTGTTCAGAGTAAAGAAGGTCCAGAGTCTACAGTCTTGACTTCTTTAAGGGCAGACATTCCTCTGTTCTTCACACACACACACACACACACACACACACACACACACACACACACGGTGTCCAGTTTTGGGCACCAATATTTAAAAACGATTGTTGAGACTCTGGAAAGAGTCCAGAGAAGAGCAGCAAAGATGATTGGGGGACTGGAGGCTCAAAACATGTGAAGAACGGTTGCTGGAATTGGGTATGTCTAGTCTAATGAAGAGAAGGATGAGGGGGGACATGATAGCAGTCTTCCAGTATCTAAGGGGTCAAAAAAGAAGAGGGGGGGGTCAATCTATTCTCCAAAGCACCTGAAGGCAGGACAAGAAGCAACGGATGGAAACTATTCAAGGAGAGAAGCAACCTAGAACTAAGGAGAAACTTCCTGACAGTTAAAACAATTAGCCAGTGGAACAACTAGCATCCAGAAGTTGTGGGTCCTCCAACACTGGAGTCTTTTAAGAAGAGACTGGACAGCCATTTGTCTGGTATGTTAGGGTCTCCTGCTTGAGCAGGGGATTGGACTAGAAGATATTCAAGGTCCCTTCCAAATTTGTTATTAATCATGTCATTTTCTGACATTTGCCATTCCTATTGCCACATGAGACAACCAATGAATGTGCCATCAGTGTAAGAGTCTTGTGCTTTATGTACAAAACAACAACAACAGTTGAAGTATTCTGATTGGATTGGAGTGTTGTTGTGAACAGCTTCCCGTTTGCATTCCAACTCTTCTGCTCTCTTCTTAAGCCCAAGGGATTTATGTTCTTTAGCTACCGATTATTTATGTATTAATTCATAATAAACGCTTGCATTTATTACAATCTTGAAGTGTGCAAGCATGTTTCCCCGGAGGTAATTAGAAGTAATTAGGAGTAGAAAAGCAAACCAAATATAAATGTAAAGCTGTAGATCTAACCTCTCCCCCCCCACACACACTCTAATCTAGAAGATAGCCAGGAAGAAAAAAAATGTTTATTAGGTAGGAAAATCTTGCTTCTGAATCACCACTGTACACCAGTTGATGAGACAATGTCCTCTCCACCCACTTTGGAAAGGCCGTAATGGAATCTCAAAAAATGCTTCTTGGTGCACCACAGTTGGGTGGTGAGACTCTCAGACTTTGCTTGAGTCAAGAAGAAAAACAAGTTTCTTTTTCCTACTTATTGTTGTCATTCAAGAATTATGTCCCGGTGCCTTTGTTTGTACAAATATCTTCAGATAAGGCAGATGTAAAGTCTGCGTAGTATACAGAAAATGGGTTCAACTTATTTTCCAAAGCACCAGAAGGCAGGACGAGAAACAATGGATGGGAGCTAATCAAGGAGAGAAGCAACCTGGAATTAAGGAGAAACCTCCTAACAGTGAGGACAATTCATCAGTGGAACGGAAGTTGCCTTCAGAAGTTGTGGGTGCTTCATCACTGGAGGTTTTTAAGAAGAGAATGGACAATCCCTTGTCTGAAATGGTTTGGGATCTCCTACTTGAGCAAGGGGCTGGACTAGAAGACCTCCAAGGTCCCTTCCAGCTCTATTCTGATTCTGATTCTGATTCTGACTTAACAACTAAACATCTCTGACAGACGACAATACAGCCCATGTTTAAGACCTTCAGCGAAAGAGAATTCCTTATGTTCCTCTCTTTCACACATTCAAGAACGTCCTCCTGATGTCTATCTTGAATCTCCTGCCTTGTTATTTTAATTCGCTGGTTCTGATCTTGTGCTCTGGAGCCAAGAGAAAAGGTCCACCTTTTCTTCAGCATGCTGATCCTTCTGGTTTTTGAAAACAGCTCTTATATCTGCCCCTCCGGTATATTATCTGCAGGCTTCACACGAGCAGATGGCTCCATCATTCCGTATCTTCTGAATTTGCTCCAGTTTTGAACTGCAGGGCCCAGAACAGGACACAAGACTCCGAATGGAGTTTAACCAGGATCAGAACGCAAAGAAGAACTCACATTTCATCTTAGAAATAAGAGGTTCACCATCTCTTCAATGCTAGTGAGGGTTCCTTTCCTTCTGTGCTAGCCAGGATGGGTGTCTGTGGAGCGTCTCAGTCATCCAGGTCCTGGTTGTCCCAAAGATGCTTTTTCAAGAGGCAACTGGAGTTCCTTTGTTTTTCTTGGAAGACATTTTGCTTCTCATCCAAGAAGCTTCTCCGGTTCTGTGAAGTGAGGACGGGGTTTGCCTGCTCGCCCAGTGTTGATAGAGGTGTGATTGTAGCATTGACTTCTGCGTGATTATTGTCTGGTGTTGATCTTGGCTTATATGAATGTTAGCTGCTGGAGGAGATGTATTCTACTGGAGTCCTTGGTGCTCTCCGAGCTTGGTTGTTTTCTTGCAGACAACTCATTACCAAATTAGGTAACATCATCAGTGCAAGAAGGGAGGGGGCTTTCCCATTGATAGACAAGCTGCTTGCCCTGTCAGCGTTATTCTTGGTGATTCCTTGATTAGGCTGTTGACTGTTAGCTTGTTTATCTGAGTTGGTGTTTCTTTGATTGGGGTGTTTACTTCTTGCTTGTTGGTCTAGTATTAATTTTGGTGTTAATCTCTGTTTATCTGGGCATTGATTGATGATGGGGAGGTGTTTTGGTCCTTTTAATTTCCTTTTTAGATTTTTAATTGTCTCTTCTAAATGGTATGTAAATGTTGTTTATCTCTATGTGCCAGCTGATGGCCGATTTGTCTGGCTTCCAGGCTTCCGGTTATTCTCTAGTGTTTTTAGGACTGAGTTTGAACAAGGATGCTCACAGTTTCCCAACTGACACTATAGTTAAATGTTTCCATGTGTTGTGATTTAAGGTGTTTTCATTGTGTCTTCTGACTGCTAGTTGGTGTTCATGGATGTTCACGTCATCTAGTTCATGTAATCTAGTCTTTTGGGGTTTTTTATTGTCTCTTTGGAATGGTGTGTAAAGATACTTTATTTCTATGTGTCCATTGATGGACAATTTGTCTGCACTTACAGAATGGACTGTAGAAGCTGATATTCCCAAGCTTAGTCACCACAACTGCCTTTGATGGTCTTCAGTTTAATTGAAGATTAGAAAAAAATGATTAGGGGACTAGAGGCTAAAACATATAAGATGATCAGGGGACTGGAGGCTAAAACATATAAGGAACGGCTGCTGAAATTGGGTATATCTAGTTTAATGAAGAGAAGGACGAAGGGGGACATGATAGCAGTGTTCCAATATCTCAGGGGCTGCCCCAAAGAAGAGGGAGTCAAGCTATTTTCCAAAGCACCTGAAGGCAGGACAAGAAGCAACGGATGGAAACTAATCAAGGAGAGAAGAAACCTAGAACTAAGGAGAAACTTCCTGACAGTTAGAACAATTAACCAATGGAACAACCTGCCTCCAGAAGCCGTGAATGCTCCAACACTGGAGGTTTTTAAGAAGAGACTGGACAGCCATTTGTCTGAAATGGTATAGGGTTTCCTGCCTGAGCAGGGGGTTGGACTAGATGACCTCCAAGGTCCCTTCCAACTGTACTATTATTATTATTATATTATTATTATTACATACTGTATGAAGAAAAGTTCCAGGAATTGATTATAATAGCGCAGGGGTCTCCAAACATGGCAACTTGAAGACTTGTGGACTTCAACTCCCAGAATTCCTCAGCCTGAGGAATTCTGGGAGTTGAAGTTTTCAAGTTGCCAAGTTTGGAGACCCCTCTAGTAGCGTATAATGAAAAGAAGGACTAGGGATGACATGATAGCAGTCTTCCAGTATCTCAGGGGCTGCCACAAAGAAGAGAGAGTCAAGCTATTTTCCAAAGTGCCTGAAGGCAGGACAAGAAGCAACGGATGGAAACTCATCAAGGAGAGAAGCAACCTGAAACTAAAGAGGAATTTCCTGACCATGGGAACAATTAACCAATGGAATGGCTTGCCTCCAGAAGTTGTGGGTGCTCCATCACTGGAGGTTTTCAAGAAGAGACTGGACAACCGTTTTCTGAAAGGACGTAGGGTCTCCTGCTCAACAAAGGGTTGGATTAGAGGACCTGTTATTCCGTTACTCTATTATGTTAACTGCCAGAGTATACGTGACCTCTAATTAAACTTCGATATGATATGATCTTCCCAGCCAAGGACAGGTGAGCTGTCTATCCACGGAAGAGAAAGCGGATGCCTTCCCTAATTTTACACTTTGCTTGGCATTTCCATAAAGTTAAATCATGTAAGAGCGGAAATCTTAAAATGAAAAAGTTTCTAGCACATTAAGCTTCCTTCGTCTCGTTCGCGTGGACTAATTTGGCTAGACACCCAAGCAAATTCTTCCACAAATTTCTCCCCGGTGCTTGCTTAGCGCTAGCCCTGTTTCTTTTTAGATCTCAAAAAATGCCAGAGCTAAGTGAGGTCATGCGATAAACTGTTGTTTTGTCCCATTCCGGATTTTGTTGAAAATAATACGCGCAAATCGTGGTGTATAAGGATAAGGCCAAAGGGTTTCCAAAGGGGATTTTGATTTGACGATATTCCGATCGTGGCAATCTTTGGAATCAAAGGATTCCCAGGGAGAACCAAGCTAGAACTGAAGGGGAATTTCCTGACAATTAGAAGAATTAATCAGGAGAACGGCTTGTCTCTGGAAGCTGTGGGTGCTCCATCATGGGAGGTTTTCAAGAAGAGGTTGGACAGCTATTTGTCTGAAATGAGATAGGTTTGCCTTCTTGTGTAGGGGGTTGGACTAGAAGACCTCCCGGGTCCCTTCCACCTCTCTTCTGATTGATGGTGGCGCCCTTGGGAATCAAAAGTTTCAGGGCGAGAAGCAACCTGGAATT